TTTATTACAAATCGATCGTAAATAAAAAGTAAGTAGTTTTAGAAAAAGTGATATTTTTTTTTTAAATTTCATTACAGATAATATTATATACATACAATTTTATATGCACCAGCCCTCACACAAAAATTATCATTAGTAGAGGTCATGCGTTTGTACATTTTTAATAACTTTGTCTTTCTAACTAAAGGTCCCATTCAAACATGACGGTCTATGGGGCAAATGAAGTAGAGTTGAACCTGTTTTTTTGTGATCTTGGTTTATGAAGAGATATTGTGGTCAGTACTATGCCCAGGCGGCTTTACTTTCTCTAACTCAACATCTGGATCTGAACTAGAGACGTTCGGGATGGCAGTCGTGTTTACTATCCCCCGACTATTGTGTTTCAAGAAGCCAACGTTTATTTTTGAAAATTTCTGCTTGGCGCTTGTCCAGCGATTAGGTTGTCGATTATTTTGTGCTTGCTGTTGCTGCTTTTCCCTTATACTTTTATGTAATCCATTCGTTTTATCTAATAAAGATGTGGCTGTTTCTGTAAACTTTTTTACTTTTTCTTCATCTTTTATTAACAAATTTGATAAGTTCATCAACAAGGCTAAAACTGTATACGTCTCATTACATTTTGAATCAAACACGTCTTGATGTTCCGTTGTCTCGAGTTGCTTAACGATCCTCTCTGTTCTTTGTAGCAGATTTACACAACACTGTTCATAACTATAAAATCCTTTCGACTTAGTTCGTTTTACATTTTCATACAATAACTCCCACTGTTTTTTAACTTTGCTTTCGTCTTGAGTTCTATTATTAAAAATCACATAGCGGTTATCAACTTCTTGAAACAGAGCTTGAATATCTCCTCTTTGTTCTCTACACCAGGAACTAAAGTTTGTTTGGGTGTCACCATCGTTATGATCTGAATCAAAGTTATCTCCATATGTGAAAACAATAATACCATAATTTCTGATAGAGTCCTCTCCTAACAAATATTTTATTAACGAGATCGCGTCTTTCTCTTGTTTGGTGAAGCGAACTCCGTATTTTAGCACAATCAGCAAATCTGTAAAACCGTGGGGACAACTGCGTAAGGCATCAAGTAATGGATCGATTTGACAGGCTTCAAAATAGTTGTCGTCGATACTAAAGCCATCGCACACAGTGATGACCGAGTATGTATTATCTAAATTATATCGGCCGGTTATCATAGCAATTCCGGAGCCTTTAGACGAAACTTCCTTGCCACTGTCTTGGGAGCTAACCATACGAGCTATTGAGTCTCGCACGCAACTTTTTCCATTTCCTGATCTCCCTACAAGAAATAATACATGATCAGCAGCTACTTGATTACCTTCAGCATTAGACGCTAGCATTGTCTTTGACGACTGAGATGTTTCATTATCTAACGCATTATCAGGAGGATCAGTCTCTAGATTTCCTTTAAAAACTGATGACATTATTGATATCTGATTTTTTTTATATTGTTAGAATTCGTTTAGTGCAGTATTCAGTTAAGACAGAATAAACATACTTGACAGTTAATCTGCAATAGAAAGTATTTTCTTTTTACAACATTATAGACCTTTAAATCTTTGATTTTTTCCTATTGTAAACATACCAAGTCGGTCGGTTTTTTTCTAGTTAAAAATTGACTAATGTTGATTCTTAAATTATGTATAAATGTGTGCCTTAATTTTCAAACTGCTGCCTGATTAAGTATTTAAGATTAACCATATTTCATTTATTTAACTAATTACTTTACACTCAGTTTACATTCACAGTAAATAGAAATGTCACTTTTATTAAATATTAGTTGTTGTTAACTTTTCGGACTTGGCGGTTCATAGGCAGATGAAGTAGAGTTCATTAGTTTTTGTGACCTCGTCTTTTTAAGGGTCCTAGGTGCTTTGACCACAGGTGCTTTGACCATAGGGGTTTTAACATTAGGGGGTTTGACCATAGGGACTTTGACCATAGGGGGTTTGACCATAGGGGCTTTGACAACAACGGAGCTTTGACCACAGAGGGGGGTTAACCTTAATATATAGATGTTCAAATATGTATTACAAACTGTTATTTGGTTTAAATTTATGATACAATTAATACGATTTTATACATGTTTCCTGAGAGTTAAATAATAGAAATAAACATGTACTACAAAAAAGTCAAGAACGATATTTTAGTCTCCACACAAAGGCTTGCGCTATTATAATCTCCACATTAAGGCTGGCGCTAGGCCTCATAAATTTATTTTAAATATAAATGAAACACAATTAATGCGACATACAACAAGTTTCACAAAAACAATAATGCAGGTGTACTTGAAAATACCTAGCATATATGAAGGATAAAAAACATGCCAACAGTATAGTCAAAGAGGTAATACTTGTATGGTTAACTAAATGAGAGTTGAATTAACATACTATTACATCCTGCCGCAATTTAAAATATAATTTCACAACTTTTAAAATTGATCAAAGACAAAATACCTGTAGTCAAAGACCCTCTGCTAAGAAAACACCTGTGGTCAAACCCCTATGGTCAAACCCCCTATGGTCAAAGCACCTGTAATCAAAGGTCCGCGCACATTTTTAAGGGATAATGTGATCAGTGCTGTCTAAGTGAAAATAACCTTGTTACGTGCAATACTATTTCAGAAAGTGGGTTCTGTTTTTCACCAGTAAGACAACAACTCCCAGCCTTTCGTATAGCTATATATGTAGGCTACTTCTAATATAGGAGAACTTCTCCCCAGTATAGGCTGCCCTATAACCCAAGTTAAGCAGTATGTGTGACTGCGTTCATGTGGGTTTTTGTTTGTTTTATTCAATATGGTTGAACAACAAATAATTCCTTTCTTATTTCTGAAATAAAACATGCATCGAATCTTCTAAATTAAGGTTAATTTCATAATTTCTTACCTGCGCTATACTGCAACCAACAAGTTTCTGTCCGCTGTGTATTTGGAGCAACCCTACCAATCTGGCCACCTATCGTGGTTTTCCCAGAAAGAGAGTGGGAAAACCCCTTTACGTGTTTAGTGAATTGATAACATCATCTGACTGACCTACTTTAGCTGTGCTAGCGATGTGTTTATGTCGCTGACTAAGCATGCGCACACAGAGCTGTTTCAACGGTGCAATAGAGAGGCATTCCATTACAACCCATTCAAACGGCGGTTCTCAAAATGGTTCTCAAAGTTTGCAATGTTCTATGTAGATTTGGCATAGTTAAGCTATGCCATTTAAAGTAATAGATATAATATAAATCCAGAAATGAACACCTATTAAAAACATACTTTAAATAAACGATAGTATAATACAATGAAATTTATTGAGGAAAATGAATCAAACACGTGAAATCATTGGATTGATAAAATGAATTTAAAAAAGACAGTAACAAATGTGAAATTGTTACGTTTTCATCAACACAGATTTACACAGATTTATACAACAACTAGCCGTCCCGGCCAGGCCCTGCTCTGGCTTCTGTGAAAAACCCTTCTGTTAAAGACCATCACCTGTGTGTTTAGTAATCATCATAAACCCGGCATTGCCCACCCAAACCACAACCAACCAAAACCAAAACAACAAAACGCAAACATAACGCTAACACAATTACAAATACAAACGAAAACAAAAACTTACAACAAACCAACCACAACCACAAACACCAATACGAACACAAAGAAAAAAGCAAACGAAAACAAACCAAATCCAAACACAAAACCAACCACAAACACAAACCCAAAGAAAAAAACAAACGAAAAAGCAAACGAAAACAAACCAAATACAAACGCAAAACCAACCACAAACCCAAAGAAAAAAAACACAAAAGAAAAAACAAACGAAAACAAACCAAATCCAAACGCAAAACCAACCTCAAACACAAATACAAACACAAACCCAATGAAAATAAAACACAAACGAAAACGAAAAAAGAAAGAACAAAAACGAACCAAATCAAAACGCAACCACTAACGCAAACCCAACCTAAACACAAAGAAAACACTAACGCAAATATAAACGCAAAGTGCTCACGGGGCTGAATCGCCTACTTCAACTTAATAAACGACTATAGTACCCCAACTTATTCATAGTCTTTTGCACTCACTTTAATGAACGTAGGCGCGAAACCGAACACGGGAGGCCCGGGACCCCAAAAAGCACCCTGTCTGGGCGCCAGAGGACGCACCATGACGTCACCGCCTGATTGAACTTAGTAAACGCCTATAGTGCATAACTTATTTATAGTCTTTTGAACTCACGCGAACGTAGATACCATAGCGTACACCGGAAGGCCCGGGGCGCCAAATAGCACCCTGTCGGGGTGCCGGAGGACGCCCGGATTTGATTCACTTAAAGACTATAGTAACCTTTCTTATCCATAGTCTATCGCACTGTTTAAAACAAAATTATGCAGCATAGCGCTCACATGATAGCCCAGGGTGCCAAATCAAACCGTGCAGGGGCGCCGGCGGACGCGCCTGTTTCAATTTAGTGAACAAAAATGATAATACTCCAAGCTTATCCGTAAATGGAAAGAAATAAACGTATATGATTTGTAGGACCTGGCTTATTAAATGTTATTGATTTTAAAAAAAAAAAATAATTATTGAACAGTATGTTCAGTGTATAGAATAAATAAAAGGCAGTGTTAAAAATACCTAACGACATTGCACTTAATCAATCCCCGCTAATTGTGTAATTATTTTTTTTTTTCTTAACACCAAAAACAAAGTAATAAAATGTTAATTCTCTCTTCTTAAGGATTTATTTTTCATTAAAGGGATATAACTTTGCAGTCAATACATTTCCGACACAATCGTTTTATTATTAAAATTAGAAAATCATTATGGCTTAGTTTGACTTAAAACCATTTTTAAAACGGCAACCATTTCGTCACTCATTTATTTAATTAACATTTTTAAAGCGGACTAGTTATTTTTCTTAAGTGTATCCCTTACTGCATGTAAGGTTTTTTCTTTGACGTGATAGGTAATTGTAGTATTACGATAAAGTAGCGGAAAGGATTATTATCATCGTCACTCCAACTAATACAGCAGCCAGTATTATCTTCTTTTGGATAGACATATTTCTAAGTCTGTAGCACCTCTTCTTCATCCCCCTTTCCTCGTCATATTCATCACACGAACGTCTTCTTTTCATTACTTTGGTGCGCTTATCTTTCTTATCGTGATTGAAATCATGAATACCTTGATCTTCCAATATAAATTGTTTTGATTCTTCTCTTTTATTTTGTGGATGTTTGTTTTCCACATTAGTTATTTGAGAATTGCTCCTTTCATGTGTTGAATCAATTGGAAGAAGCTCTACATACTTCGATTTCCCAAATATCTTGCTAGCTTCAAATTTTGTTTCTGGCTTGTTTAAACCGACCCATTCGTCGCGGCTTTCTTTAGCAAGATTTAGTAACTCAGAAGTGTAAGGCCCGCTCTTTTTCACATCGGCCACCATTTCAAGTAACGCCTTCCTTTGATTATTTTTAACTGTGTCATCCTTTGCCTTATTGTTAAATAACACACATCTATTGCCACATTCAAGAAACAGTTTCTGAACTTCACCCTTCTGCTCTCTACACCAATCATCAAAGGTGTGGTTACCATCTTCATGATCAAGATCGAAGTTATCCCCATACGTCATCAAGATAATCCCCCATTTTTTAAATACGTCATTGCCAAAAATAGATTTGATAGTTTGTACTGCGTCCTTCTCCTGTTGGGTAAACCTCACCCCGTACTTCATCACAAACACAAGGGCGGTGAAACCGTCGGTCAACTTTCTAGATATCGACCTCACTAAATCTTCAGGGTCTACGATCATGTCATCGCCGCTATCACCTACTCCAGTACCATCAATCAGCACCAGATTGTTCTCGACATAGAAAGAGATGTCATTACCAGGTTGCGTTCTCTCTTCTGTGAGAATTGAGTTGATGGACGAACTTTTACCATTGCCAGTCCTTCCAACAAACAGCAAAACATCTTTAGTAGACATTTCTCTCTGTAAGATAACAATACATATCCTTTATATACATATATGTAAATACATATACAAGTACACACACACACTCATATATATATATATATATATATATATATATATATATATATATATATATATATATATGTGTGTGTGTGTGTGTGTGTGTGACGGGGTGGCCTACTGATAGAGAGCTAGACTGCTATCCCAATAGTATCGAGTTAAAATAAGTCGGATGCCCCTGAGTCCACCCAGCTCTGATGAGTACCTAATTCAAGTCAGAGAAAACAAAGTCGGCTGGGGATAGTGCTGATCACACCATCCATATATATGCCGAGTTCTCTGAAGCAGATTAACTCTAACTCATTTGCTGCACATGTCTTGGGCACGAACGGGAAAATATTAAGATTATATATATATATATATATATAAGATTATATATATATATATATATATATATATATATATATATATATATATACTAGCCGTCCCGGCCAGGCCCTGCTCTGGCTTCTGTGAAAAACCTTTCTGTTAAAGACCATTACCTGTGTGTTTAGTAATCATCATAAACCCGGCATTGCCCACCCAAACCACAACCAACCAAAACCAAAACAACAAAACGCAAACATAACGCTAACACAATTACAAATACAAACGAAAACAAAAACTTAACAACAAACACAACCACACCCACAAACACCAATACAAACACAAAGAAAAAACAAACAAAAAAGCAAACGAAAACAAAAACCTAACAACAAACCCAACCACAAACACCAATACCAACAAAAAAAAAATCAACGAAAAAAGCAAACGAAAACAAACCAAATCCAAACGCAAAACCAACCAAAAACACAAATACAAACCCAAAAAAAAAAAAACACAAACAAAAACGAAAAAAGAAAGAACAAAAACGAACCAAATTAAAACGCAACCACTAACGCAAACCCACCTAAACACAAAGAAAACACTAACGCGAACATAAACGCCCGGGGCGGAATCACCTGTTTTCGCTTAATGAACGACTATAGTACCCCAACTTATTCACAGTCTTTTGCACTCACTTAAACGAACGCGCCTGTTTCAATTTAATAAACAATTTTAATACTCCAAGCTTATCCGTAAAATACCTACAACATTTGCACTTGATCAATCCCCGCTAATTATGTAATTATTTTTTTCCCAACACCAAAACAAAGTAATTAAAAAGTAAATTATTTTCACGGAATGCAATGGTTTTATAAAGGGAAGTAATTGTGTTTTTCCTAATTTATCAAAGGGAAGTAAGTGCTATAGGACTAAATAAAGACATAATTAGAATTTTTGTAAAAGATGATATTTTTTTTTAAACTTGTGTTTAATGAACATGCCGACAATTATTACTATAATTTGAAAAATGAAAATTATTTCCCAACACTTTCAATGGTAATTTTTTAGCTCATAAATTTAGACAATTGCGCACGATAATTTTCTAACACTTAAATTCGTACAATTCCAACGACATACAAATGCATTACATACAGAACTGAGCTTTATATATTAGATATATATATATATATATATATATATATATATATATATATATATATATATATATATATATATATATCGGCGCCTTATATATATATATGATCATAACAATGTAATGTCGTATTCAAAATTATCAAAAAGTCAGACTCAGTTAAAGAATTGATTCACTCGTAACTCCCGAAAAGATTTAATTAGGAAACCAATATTAAACTTGCCAAGCATCAACTGGGGAAGACTAAGGTTTAATAACAGATTGTATAAACAATTCTAGTATCTCGCTGTCCAGTGGCGTAGGCAGGGGGGGGTAGGGGGGGGGTCATAATCCCCCTCATATGAGTGGGGGTGCAAATCGAAAGTTTGAGGGGGGGGTTCAAATCGAAAGTTTGAGGGGGGGGGGGAGCAAATCGAAAGTTTGTCCCCGGGTAAAAATTTGAACCCCCCCCCCCCCCCCCCCTTGAGACGATCCTGGCTACGCCACTGTCGCTGTCAATATTCTTTCGTGCACTTAAAGAAATTCCCCCTAAAGCAACTCTACACTCTATTTTGTTGGAATACGCACGTTTTTTCGATTAAAAGCATGCGAATGCAAACATACGTTATTGTAAGTTATATTTAAAAGGTGGTTAATAATAACTACACAAACCTGAATAGAAAAACGATTTGACAGCGTTTAGTTTATTCCCTGTTTAGATATAGTCCTGTGTGTTTTCAGACAGCCAGAAGCACACAGCTACGCTAATGCAGTTCGGCTGACAATATGTCCACAAGAAACAATTTACTATTTAGATATCTCAATGTGTGTTAATCATCCGACAGTAGACGTCGCTTCGTTCCGGGTTTTCACAAGTAATATCAGGAATACCCAGAATTACTGACGTGGAAAAATCAATAAGCCAACACGAATATGTTACTGCTTCTGTTCTACCATCATATAGTTTTTAAAAACAAAAAGCAGCTAGAATTGCTGTTTTGAAGATTTATGTCGTATATTACATATTATTATTATGACTGAATTGTTAAAAAATAAATAAAAGAGAATACTTTAAAATACGATATATTTCTTTTATTCTTAGTGTATGCAAAAAATACAATTTGCTTCCTAATTGTATAATGAATATAATAAAGAAAATTAAAATACTTCATTTAAATTACGATACACTCTATATTTCTCTGTTCCATTATTCCATCAAATCTGCTGATTTTTATTTTATGTTGTAAAAACATAATAATACGGCATATAGTAGTGATTAATGAAAGTAATATAGACACATATTTTGGAGATAATGAAAATACTGCTACAATTACCCCTTCTTAACCCCCCACCCACCAAACCAACGTATCCCCTTCCCATCCCCTACCCCAGCCAACCCAATGCAACCCGTAACGCTCCCAGTCCCACATCCCAACCAACCCACCCATTCTCCTGATCCCAACTTCCCCTCCCCCCACACCCATTAGCTACCCCAGCTTCAACCAACCATCCTCTTTTCCTGTCTTAACCACTTGTCTGATAATATGTAGTTGGTGATGCTCGAGAGATGCTTAAAATAAACTGGTTAAAAATTAAAACCAACATGATAAACATGTTGAAGTAAAAGAGTTAAGACAAATTATGATCTGAAAAGAAAAAAAAAGAAACTTTTGAAAACAACTCCTGAACGGTGTTGTTGGGTTTACAATTGTTCCAATTTAGTGCTCCAAGCCTATGCATATAGGAGAGAAAAAACTCAAACATAAAACAAATTCAACCTTAAACTTTGTTTCCGGCTTCTGATATGTTTTTGGAAGCACACTCAGAAAGAAAAATAGGATCTTATCGGAATCAACAGACCATATTGTCACTAAGATCCATACCGTAAGCATAATTTGTGAATACTTTGATGAACACATTTTATTTTATTTAAAATTCACTTGAAAAAAAAAACAAGATTTGGTTGCAGCTTATTTTTTTTTATAATTTAAACAATAATCATATATATTAAATTATTTTAAATATTTTTTCTCCACATTTCTAATTATGGGAAGCAACCGATTTTTACTTAAACTGGATTTGTTCAAAGATATTTTTATTACTTCATGCTAATAGAACTAGTTTAAAACAACACATTTTATTATTTGTATCTTATCACAAATTGTAATAAAACATTTAACGCTCATAAATAATGATTACATATAATCTAGTACAATGATTTTTATTCTTTAAACTGCATTTTCATAAGATTCTACGTTCGATACACACCAAGGTATTCAAGGGATTTGACATTCGTGCTTATAAAAACCGATCGATTATTGGATATATTGGGGCGCAGTGTGAACTTGCCTTTGGTGTGCTAACAAACCCAACCCGTGTTAAACACACCATGACCACACCTATCCGGTGAAAACAACCAGGCTTACCGCCAAAATACCCTATCTGCGCATCCTTGCAGAAATCTTAGTGGTAGCACGCTCGTAAGCCGAAGACTTGTTCTTTCTGCGCGCCTATTTTTGCCTTATAGAACATTATTTGTTTTGTATCTGTTCTAATGAACAACACCAACCTCATTAGAAATCCTTCACTTAAGAAAGAAACGGGAAATGTAAGATCTGTCGTTATAACTAAAGAAAGTGAAACATCTTACACATTTAAAAAAAATTCTGTCTGATCTTAAATTATTAGAATTTTACATTTTTCAGATTTATTATTCTAATTCATTGATTTGGTTGATGTTTTAATATTTTAAAAGTATTGATACTTCAACATTCTTCAACGTGTTATTAAGACGAGCATAGCATACCACTAACATTAAAAAAGGGACATTTTTATTTTTATATGAATGGAAAATAGTATATAACTATAATCATTATAGAAACATCTTGTGCGTTTTTTAGTCTTTTAAACAACAATTGTATCTATTAGTAATCAATTAATTGAGTCCTTGCACGATACATCACGGATCGTTCAGTATGTAAACATCCTCTATCGCGGTGTACATGTCCGCGATCTAAATGGCGATCTGTGCTGTGGAAGGTTGTGATACTCGAAGTGGCAGATCTAAAGGGATTCTTTTATTTCGACTGCCAAGGGTTATATTAAACCAAGGTATAGAGATCGGCATTCAACAACAATTTATATATATATATATATATATATAGATTTAGATCTATAATCCAACTCTAAATCTAATCATGTTGTAAACGAAATTAAATCTAGATTTAGACTGACTGGCTACGCTAGGTAGATATAGAATCTAGAATGTACTTATTTAATTAAATTTAAATACAAATTTAATTAAATTTTTTTCAGCCTACAAAATTTAGACCTATATGCGATTGATAATACACCAATAATTAACAATTAAAAAAATAGGAGTAATAATAACAATGTAATTATCTCTAAGATCTAGAATCTAGCTCTAGATTATAATCATTAATATTTAACAAACGAAATGATCTGAAATTGAAATAGATTGTATGACTAGACTCAGATCTAAATCTGCTACTAATGTTAAATTCGTAAAGGTATTTGATATTTTTGTTGTAGAAGGATATAATAAATTATTTAGGCCTACCTACTATGTATCTAATTACAGTGCTATGTATCTGATACTGGACTGAGTTTAATTAAATTTAGAAGCAGATCTGCGGTACTAATTTCCCCTTAGTTTCTCTTCTGGGCCCTGAGGGTAATACATTATATAAGAGATGCTATCTCTGGTTGGCTGAGATCTAAGAGCAGCAATCCATGTTACCTACAAAGACATCACGTTTTATGGTGGGTTAGAAACGACTGTGGGCTTGGTGTGAAGTAGCATGGAGTTAGAAATTTTGAGGGGAGGGAAGTGGTATTGATTCCTCTGTGGTCCCCACCCTGCTCGACCATGACGGTGGGCACATGATAAGATAAGAAACATTTTACTATTTAGATATCTCAATGTGTATAAATCATCCGACAGTCAACGTCGCTTCGTTCCGGGTTTTCACAAGTAATATCAGGAATACCCAGCATTACTGATGTGGAATAATCAATAAGCCGACACACATATGTTGCTGATTCTGTTCTACCATCGTATAGTGTTTAAAAACAAAGTGGTGCTAGGATAACTGTTTGTAAGATGTATGTCGTATTATTCCAATGTTATTATTATGACTGAATTGTTAAAGAATAAAATAAAAGAGAATACTTTAAATTTGGATATACTTCTTTTATCATTAGTTTATACAACACATACAAAATGCTTCCTACTTTCTTTAGTGAATATACATATTTATGAAAATACATATATATATATATATTACCTTTCTTAACCCCTCCTCCCACCAAAACAACCTATCCATTTCTCATCCCAACCCCAGCCAACCCAGCGCGACCCCTTACGCCGCCAACCCACCCCCATCCTAACGAACTCTCCCCTTTCTCTCCTTGTCAAGAAAATATGTTGTCACTACAATTCATCCGAAAGCATAATTCTCATGAACACATTTCGTTATTTAAAGACTAACTTAAAAAAAAACCACGACTTGGTTGCAGCTCAATTTTTTTTTAATTTTTAGCAATAATTATATGTATTCGATTATTTTAAATCTATTTCTCGATATTTTTAATTATGGGAAGCAACCGATTTTTACTCAAAACTGAATTTGTTTATAGATATTTTAATTACTTCATGCTAATAGAACTAGTTTTAAAAAATATATTTTGTTATTTGTATCTTATCACAAATTGTAATAAAACATTAAACACTCATATATAACGATTACATATAGTCTAGTCCTATGATTTTTATTTTTAAAAATGCTTTGTACATACAATTCTATGCTCGATACTCACCAAGGTATTCAAAGGACTGAAAACTCGTGCTTATAAAAGCCAATCGATTATTGGATTTATTGGGGCGCAGTGCGAACTTGCCTTTGGTGTGCTAAGGTGTGTTATAAAACACTAACGTGTGTTATAAAGCACTATCTCTACACCAATTCCACGGTGATTATACCTTACGGTAATACAGGCTATTCGCCATACGTCTATCTGCCCTTCAATGCAGAAATCTGCGTGGTAGCACGCTCGTAAGCCGAAGACTTGTTCTGTCTGCGCCCCTTTTTTGCCTTATAATAGAAAATTATCGTTTGCTATGTATGTGTTGCAACCTTATTCGAAACCCTTCACATAAGAGAGAAACGGGGTATATATATATATATATATATATATATATATATATATATATAAAGCTGTCGTTATAACTAAAGAAAGTCAAACATCTTACACGTTATAGGCAATTTTATTTTATTAAAGAATCCAAGGTTGATTTATTTATTTTTTTGGTGCATATATGTGTTATTTTTATGAGTAAGATTATGTTGGACAATTATGATGAAGTGAAATATGGCAAAGTTTGCTTGTAAAAAAATCTCTCAAGTATAATATATGCGGATAGTTATGTATTGATGCAAACAAGTTACTGTTATTCATTCTAAGCAATTTATTTGATGTTTTGCAATGTTTTATTTGCAATCGCTGTGAACTGCGTTATGGTTATATACTCTTTATTTAAATTCTTTTTTTAAAATATGTGTTGAAATAATTTCCTTTGTTAAGAAATACCAAATATTTTAGTAATATTTTGTATTTGATTAAAATGTTATTAATTTTGTATTTGATTGTGTAATATTACCTGGGTAAATGACATCGCCGTACATTATAAATAGAATAATTTAACTACATATAAACACAAATGACAAACGTAATATATTACGTATATTTTAATCTTTTTATTGCTTTATAAC